CAAAAGCAAAAAGAGATCTCAAAACAACAGGCACATTGCTGTTGGACTAGGGCAGCTAGGGGGCGATAGAGTGCATAGAGGTCTAGGCCTGCTCTCAGTTATTTACTGTGTGATCCTGGGTAAGACAGGGCACCCTGTTTGGCTCCATTTCCTCCTCTTTAAAAACGATGTGGAGAAGGAAATGGCAAAGCACTCCAGGAGCTCTGCCAAGAAAATTCCCCAATGGGATGACAGAAGGGGATCCTTCTCTATTAAGCCTGTCTCTGCACACTGACTTAGAGTTACTCTATCTGGTCCCAGCACCATTTGAAGTGAATCGGGTAGTGCCTGGGGGATGGGGTCTAGGGAGGAGGAAGGGATGCCTACCTTCACATTCATCCGCAGAGATATATCCTGAGGAGGATCCAGGGGTGTTGCAGGTGATTTTGGCCGGGAGAGGGAATGGTGAGAATCCTTTGACCCTACTGAAAAAGGAAAAAGGTGAAAAAGAAAGGGAAGGGGAAAGGCCAAGAGGGGAATGAGACTTGGCTGGAGACTTCCAGGTTGAAAAGAAATGATACCCAAAGCCCTCTGGTCCTGTTCTTATTCCTTAAACAGATGTATACATTTTCCCATGAGAGGCAGAATCGGACCAAGCCATAGCTCCCATGGGCCAAGGACGGCCTCTTTCCAAATTAAACCACCATGACGAGGTATGAGAAAAGTTAAGAGCTACCTGAACCTATCTCTTCACCCATAGGTCCTTCTCCCACCTGGCTTCCTGTGCTGTTGCTGGGCCCTGCAGCTCACCCTAAGAACCATGTGCACTGGGGCTAGGGAAAAGAGGTCCGTTGCTGAGAAGTGTTGTTCCCTGCCCAGCTTCAGGCCTCAGGGTTCTTGGCCTTCTCCATGCTCAAAGTTGCCCCTCCCTAGTTCCTGTTCTCAGAGAGTAAAGGCAGCAGGATCACAGGCTCACTTAGAAGGAGAGAGATGGTGCTGGGCACAGGAAATTCTCATCTTTGTGAGGAAAGAAAGAAATACATTAATGTCTCTACTAAAAATCAGGGCTGGAAAGAAATGTGCACATGGCAGCAGCCGAGGCCCTTGGCTGCCATGGGCTGTTGTGATGGCGAACATGACCTAGCCTTGCTCTGGCTCCTCTCACCTGAGGGAACTCCCTTTGAATTTAGTGTGCTGGCCAACCACAGAGGAACTCCAGCCATTGCTGCTGTGGCTGCTGCTGCCGCCTCCATCAACATCTAGGTGGTAACTGAGGAGCAGGTTCTCACTGTGCCTAGACATCTTCAAAGGCTTTGCCTTTTCAGGAATTCTAGAAATTCTCCTAAGTAGGAAAAAGGAATGAGAAGTACCTTGTTCCCGACCCGCCTCCTGTCACCCAGAGGCTCACTAGATTCAAATTCCTCAACTTCTTCGGCAGGTGGTGGTCCTTGTTCCCTTTCTGAGATTTCTGCTTTCAAGTATCTGTCTTGCTTTGGGTCCATTCCTTAAAAGTGAAAGGAAACTCCCAAACCATTCCTTGGACCACTGGCAAGTGGCTGGCAGGCGCCTGTCCTAAGACTGGCTGAGAGGCCCTTCTCAGAGAAGGAAGGAAATCCCGGAGAGCCCCCAACTGTGTGAGACAGAGACCACTTACTCAAAAATAAAAACAAAGAATTAGATGCCTTGAAAGTAGAAAAGAGTTTATTGCTTTCTCAGGAGAAAGGGTACCCCCTTAGTCACCATTGTGACTAGGGCCAGGACAGTACTAGTTTGTCCTCCCTAACCCTCTTCCCCTTATCCCATTGGCTGGGCTTTCGGGGGGGGCACAATCTTTTCATGGAAATCTAGAGCAAAGGTAGTTACACAAGTTGGCCCAGAGAGAAGAAATTGAGGGAAGTTTTTGTAAGAGAAAACACTTGAGGTTGGGGACAGGGCTTATTCTTTCTGCTAAGCATGTAAACAAAAAAAAAACCACGGTCTGAGTGGGGGAGGCTTTTAAAAGCATCAAGAAATGTTAACAAGAACCACTGATTCCCTGAAGAGGCTTCATGTCTGAGAGATCATCTCTCACACAGGCAAGCACTCTGTCCTGGTCCAAGCTAAACAGCTGATACTAACCCTGATCTTAGGTAATGGGCTTCATGGGTAACAATGCTGGAAGGACAGGGTTTTTGTCTTTTGTTTTTTTCTTCATTTGATCATCACAGCTCTTAAGAATTATCCAAGTCATATTACAGATGAGTAAATAGACAAGTGATAAGCTCCCCTGGGATTCCCACACTGCCAGGAAGTACCTCCAAGGCATGCCTGAGCCTTCCCATCTACCAGGTCACTGAGCTCCAACCTCAATGCGCCCTCAGGGATTTCTAATTTGTCAAGGCCTATGCAACTCGATATTGGGAGAGGAAGATGAAGTAGGGGGGCAACCAGGCTTGGCGTTGGAGGACTCAATTTTATCATGGAAACCTGTGTACCTGAGGATTTGCGGGAGGAGAAGTTCAGGATGGAGGAGAGGTAGATGTGCCTTGGCAAAGAGGGTTTGCAGACGAGAGGGGCCAGCCACTGTGCCCTCACACAGAGGAGAAAACCATGCCCTCACAGGGCTCAAGACACTCCACCTCCACACACCTACTCTTCCACCCGAATACTGGCATGATAGGCTAGCCCCAGGAACTGGGCAGGCACCCCATACCCTGCCCCTACTGTACCTTTCTCGTTAGCCTCCACCTCAGAGTCCTGAGGACTCAGATGCGGAGAGTGGGAAAGTGGGGGGAACACGGCACCCATGCCTAAGGGGCCACAACGAGAAAGGGGGCATTAGGTGGGGCTAGGGTGAGCCTGGGCCTTCACCTTCAGAGGATCATCCTTGGACTAGGGTGCCCCACTTTAGAGCATTTGCTGGAGAGCATCTGGCCTCTACCACTGTCACAATGAGCCTAGCCAAGCCTGAGTATGGGGGGCAGGGTAAAACCCCCATTCTGGCCTTCCAAGAGGAGCACCTGGGGCCAGGGTAAACAGTCCTGGCACTGAGGGACTCCACTCACTCATGGACACCACTGTTCCTGGGGATTTGGGGGGAAGAGTTTAGGGGGTGGACCAGAGGCGGCAGTGCTCAGGGGCGTAAGCTTGGTAGTGCAGATGTGCACTCACTCAGAGGGTGGGCAGAAAAGACCAGGTGCAGACACTGGACCCTGGCACAGGGAAGGGCACTGAGATCCAGACCTTCTACCTTTCTAACATCTTTTCTGATGGCCACTCCATGCCACAGCTTGGTCCTACAGGGTACCTGCTGATACTGCTAAGTAGGTCAGCTGACTGCCCCTTCTGGGTTCGCCTCCATAAATGTGTCCTGTAGTGTAGCGGATTAATGCATGGGGAACCCTGGGCCCTCGCTAGAGGGACTGTGAGGACATAGAGAACCCGAGCTTAGACTATGGGCAGCCACGCTTTCATCCTGTGAGGATAGTCCTTGGCCTGGCGCTGTCCCAGTTTAGAGTGTTTCCCACAGGGCAGCTGGGCTGTGGTTTTGGGAGGATGAGACTGGCCAGGTAGGGTCACAGTATGGGTAAAGAGCCCCATTCTGGCCTGACTAGAGGGGCATCTAGGGCCAGGGATCAGGGACGGTCAGCCCTGGCACTGGCGTGCTGTCAGACCGACCTGTTTCCTAAACACACGCAGGGACACAAAGACATATATTTTTTCTCTCTCTCCCTTTCTCTCTCTTTCTCTTTCTTACACACACACACACACACACACACACACACGCACACACACACACACACAGAGACACCATTAGAACAATCAAGCACACTTTGTCCCAGAGCGAGATGGAAAGGCATTCTTTTTCTTCAGAGTGTGGCAGCAAGAATGAGGCCTGTGCTGCGGAAAGCCCTTCCAGGTAGCCACCAGGGTAGGGCTTTCTAGTCATTCATTTTGGCTGTTTCTAATGCGGTTAAGAATGGAGGGGACATTTTCATCTCCTTCACTCCTTCCTCTCTTTCTAGTCACCCCCTTCCCCTGAAAAACGAAGGCCTTCACTTTCAACCAGTAGATTAGAGGGCTTCAGACTGGCCTTATGATCACCCATCAGACAATCTCCTTTCTTCTTTCCTCCTCACCCCAGCTCTGCAGCATCAGAGGGAGTCCTCCCTCTCATCTTTGGGGATGGATACCTCATCTCTTCGATTTGGCTTTGAACATTCTAGAGAATGCCCTGCTTCCCCCTTTCACTCTGGCCTAGAGGTGGGACCTTCTGCTTGCTCAGGATTACGTTGATGAAGTCCCCTGTTGGCTAAGGGTATCCCTCCCTAGGTGGGTGGAGCAGCTGCTGCCTCTGCCCTCTACACCAAGTAGCCCTTCCATCCTGCCCACCCTGCCACCATTGTGGCTGCTACTGGAGCTGATTTGCAGCTTTTTCCAAGGGTAAGGATGTCCCCAGCACCTTGAACTTCTGGCTGCTGATGGAGGGAGTGGGAAAGTTTCTCCATCATTCTCCATCAGGGCCTTCTGTGCCTCAGAGATGTCCAGAGGGTCAAGGGCAACAAATAGTTCCTATTATTATTATCATTTCAAGTTTTTCAAATTTGGTTTTTAAAACTGAGTTCCAAAGTCCCTTCAATTGCAACGAGAGCAAGGTTCACTCCTGCCTTCTCACCTCCCCTCTCTTCCCCTCCACTGTAAAAGCACTTTCTTGTCCTTTTATGGGAGATAATTTATCCCATTCAATGTCTCTCTTTCTCTTTCCACAAGTGCATTCCTCTCTCACCCCCTCATTTGATATTTCAATGTCATCCCTTCATATTGAACTTACCCTATGCTCTCTCATGAGAAAGGTCTCATGGATTACAAATATCATCTTTCCATCTTTCCATTTCAGGAAATGGATGAATTGCTTACAGGTTTTTGGCTCTTCTGGCTTCCCACCTCAGTATGCTTTTCTTTTTGTTTAACTGAATTTTATTGTAGAATGAAACACTACGACACAAATACAGACTAGAGAAAAGAAGAAAACATATCATAAACTTAAATGTTGCATCTTAATTATCAAGTACGAAAAGAAAAAAAAAGTGTCTTGTGCATAGCAGAACACAGGAAAGGATTCAAAATACGTAACAATACATTTTCATTTCAAGAAAGCCTGTATGATAAATAGTACATGTTGTGTCAAGAGTTGCCCGACTTCACTTCCTTGTAAGTTTTCTTTTTTTTTCTGTGCACGTGCACATACTCACATGCACATGAACACACAGGTACACACAAATTTGCATTTGATACTGAACTATTTAGGAGAATTAGACCTAATTGTCGGAAATGAAATGATTATAATAACCATTCTGAAGTTATTTCAATTTTTTTTGTTTTGGTTTTGCAGTTAGGGTATAGGAAAGTAGTGTAGTAGTCACCCAAATGAATGATGTTGAAAAACATAACAGTTATTAAGGTACCTGTCATGTTCCCTCATGTGGAATTCTCAGACGTGGTTTATACACCACAATGCAATGCAGTGAGATGTTCTTTCTTAGCTGGGCCATGAGCCTGTGTCAATGGGGGAAAGGGTTGGTGGAGCCTCATTTCATCTCATTTGTGTTAATAATTGAGGCTGGGCTGGAATCTCAGGCCCTCTTGCTCTTTTAAAGCCTCTTCACAGTAGAGTGTTCTGTGCCTACAAGGTGAAGATGGTAGCTCTCCAAAATACGTAGAACCTTGGCATTAAAACTTGGCATTAAAAGACCTGGGTTCACAGCTCAGTTCTATTACTTGCTATGTGATCTTACTAAGCCACAACCTTTATCAAGTCCCAGTTTGCTTTTCGGTAAAACTCAAGCATTGGGTAAGTCATGCTTAAGCTCTACAATGGTGTCATGGAGAGGATGGGATTGAGTGGACCACATAATAATGATGGAAGGACTGCGGCCCTGTTCTTCATTCAGAGTTATCAGGCCATGTCCCTGGAAGGCAACCCTCACTAATGGTTGCTGACATCAGAGCTGGGTGGATTGGAATGTCAACTTCCTTGTTGTCAGCCTCAATTCTCTCTGCTGTATCATGAGGGGGTCAGATTTGGAAGATCTGAAGGACTCTTCCACTTCTAGAGGCTGAAGGTCCCATGCTTTGGTTCAAGCCAGATGGGTAGAGAATGTGGGGAGTTTATATGGGGAAGCCTGTGGCCATAACTCCAGGCCTCAGCAGTTCTCCATCCATACAGGTAGACCTCCAGTATCTCCCTCATGGGACCTCCCTGCTGCCATAAAATCCCTGGGCCCATAGGCCACACTCCACCATCACCACCAATGAAATACAGAGAGCAATAGGAAATGTGAAAAAACAAAACATTTGAAGCAAGTTTCTCTGAGAAAGACCTCATTTCTCTAACATATAGAGAACTGTGTCAAATTTATGAAAATAAGAGCCCTTCCACACTTGATGAATGATGAAAACATATAGTCAGTTTTCAGATTAAAGCTATCTATAATCATATTATAACCATTACTAAATCATAAGTAAACCTATCTTTAACCATATTAAAAGTATTCCAACTCACTACTGGAGAAAGGCAAGTTAAAACAATTCTGAGGTACTACATCAAAACTATTAGGCCATATAGTAGCACAGAAAAGGTAAATGACAAATATTGGAGCAGATGTTGAAAAACTGAGACATTAGTGTAGTATTGTCAGAGTTGTGTATCAATTAAATCACTCTATAGAGCAATTTGGAACTCTTCCTAAAGGGCTATAAAACCATGCATACTCGATGCCATATTTCACATAGAAATACCCCTGCTAGGTCTCTAACCAGAAAAAGATATAAGATAAAAAGGGAAAAGACCTTTAGGTACAAAAACATTTAGAGCAGATCCTTTCTGGGGGTAAAGAATTAGAAATTTAGGGGATACACATCAATTGGGAAATATCAGATTGTGCGCCGTCTTGGGGAGGGTTGGGGGGGGAGGAAAAGGGAGAAAAATTCTCAACTCAAAAGCATATGGAAAAAATGAAAAATAAAACAACTTTCTTGAGGGGACTAAGAAGTGACCTCACCCCTCTGGGGAGAGTGGTTCATGCTTAATCCCAGCTGACCTTGGGTCTTTCTCAGATGCCTCTTCTTGGTGCTATGGTGGAAGAGGACACCTGTCTCTAAAAGGTCTAGCCAGGATTTAAGGTCCAGATATCTGGAGCCCACCAGTTTACAGACTCAGGTTCTCCTCAGCACACAGAGGGCCCAGCCATTACAGACCACGAATCCCCAAACAGCAGCGTTGGTGTTTTCATGAGTCTCATTGTGTTCTCTTTTTCCTTACAGTAGCTGGAAAGCAGGGTGCTCCTGCACATGTCTGAGTAGCATGGGTAAGGCCCTAAACTGGTGGCAATGTGAAGAGGAGGGAAGGAGGGCTAGAAATCTAGACCAGAAAAACCCCAACAGACATTCTTTGCAGGGGTCGATGGATCTGCAACAGTCAGGTTAGCATGTCCATAGGATTGATCTGAGCTGGTGGAGAGCTCAAAAGCAGATGAGGTTACTGAGGACCCGAAGGGAAATGACCTACTCAGGGTCTCACAGGGAGCAAATGTCAGTGAAGACTTGCAGCCAGTTCTCTGGCTCTGTCCTTTCCATTGGGTGTGGTGCTTTTCATCAGGTGACACTTGTTCTGTTTGCGTCCATCTTCCAGTGCCTACAGCAAAGTGCACCTTTTGTCACTGGCTAGTTTGTCCCAAGAAGAAGTCCATGACAAAAGGACAATGGAGATGGGTGCCCTGGAGGCCCAGCTGGCTGGCCTGAGGCAGGAGGTGGTGGCCTTGAGTCAGAGCCAAGCTGCAGTGGCCCAAGGAATACACCTTTGGTGAGAAAACATGGTGGCCATGTGCAGTGACATGAGTCCTCCAGTCCCCTGGTTAAGCCATGCATACCCCTCCATCTCAGCTGGGCTGATGCTTCCTGGACGTCTGCAACCACCTAATGTTTCCACTGGGTGCTTCCCAAAGATTGAGCCTATTGGGTGGACTTTGGGACGTGGACGGGACCTTCCTCGACTGTCAAGTGGAATAAGAAGAGTCCCCAGACGGCCCAATGGAATCCTGTTTGCAGACCTCAAAAGCAGTGAAGAAATGCCAGTCACTTGATTCACAATCATCTCTCTCTGGCCCCAGGCAAGCATGTGCTGGCCCTCAGCTCTCAGAAGGTCTCTAGACACCCCAGCTCTCCTGTCCAGGCCCTATTCCTTCCTCATCCCTACTGTTTCTGCAGTGTTTGCTGACTTCTTTCCTCTGCTGGCTTCTAGATGAGGTCTCAGGTCCCAGCCTTGATCCAGCAATACCTTCTTGGAGACAGGCCACTCAGGATGGGCTTGTACCACTAAAAAAGGTGTAAGCCCAGCTTTGGGACCTGGAGAAAAGAATCCTGAGTCATATGGCAGAGGAACAAGGAGAAGTCTGCCAGCAGAGTGGCTAGAAGGTGGGGAGATCAAGGAAAACAAACTCATGGTGGCTTTTGTTTGGTCCCCTTTCCCCCCCTCAAAGTATCCTGCAGCTTCTGCCTCCTCCACCCCCGACTCCACTTCCCCCTGATGCCTGTCCCTCCTTTGCCTCCCTGGATTGATTTGGATTCATATCCTAACAGCATGACGTTTCCTGCACCCCTCTCTCATCCAGCCATCTGTCCCTTTGCTTTTCCTTCTGTGCAGGGGCTCAATGAAGACTCCCAGGTGGAAGGGTTGGCCCTCAGGCAGTTCACCTAGGATAATGCTGGGGAGGCCATTCAGACCTTATACTTACAGGTGTGGAAGGCTGGTCCCACATCAGTCACCCAGTGACTCAGGCATGCTGGTGGTCTCAAGGGCTGGATCAACAGATATGGGGAGGCTGTGGCTTGGCAGGTGGCTACACTGGAATCCAGGTCCCACTAGGTCTGACAGTAAGCTGAGGGATCAACTTGGGGCTTAATTTAGCCACTTCTTTTTGAAGGAAGCCTGGGGCAGAAGGGCTGTGGGGTCCTGGCAGACACCAAGGGATGTCAGGCCTTCCTGACCCCACTCTCCTTTTCCCACAGGGCAGCTGCAAAGCCCCATAACACCTGGTACGGCTTCAAGCCTTGAGCAACTCGAGTCACCCTGAGGATACCTGCCTTTACCGATCACGGGTGGGTGAGCAAGCCTGCCAATTAGCACCTCCCTGCCCTGTCCCTTCACCCCTTCCTCCTTCAGCCACCAGCAAGCAGCTCCCCCTCCTCCTCCTCCCTCCCCCAAGCTCAATCCCTTTTTTGGCACTATGACTTCTGGGAGACAGAAAGAAGGTGGGAGTCCACCTCTGCAGAGCCATCTTGCCCACCAAGCCCTCTCTGATATGGAGGAGACCACCAGCTGAGCAATTTCTGCTTCAGTACCCATCATCAGCATTATTTACTATATGTTGGGGATGCGATTGGGACTACTGAAGGCCCTGCTAAGCTCAGCAGCAGTCCCATAGATACACAGCTTACGCCACCTTGGGTCTAGGGCAAGGAATTTGGTGTAGTAAGGGCATGACAAATTGGGCACTGGCAAAGGGCACACTGGTAGCCAGTCTGACGTAGGTATGCTCCTGCAGGTGGCTAATGCCTCTCTCCATGGGACCTTCCATGGTTCTCTTCACCACTAGCCATGATGGAGTAGTCTTTGAAATCGGAAGTACCTGGCAATGACAACAAATGTCTGGGATTGAGATCCTGAAAACACCAACAGCCTGGATTTGAGGGAAATTCTGCCCCCAGGATCACCTGGCATGGCATTTACAAACTGTATGGCAGCTGGGGGTATAGCCATGGCTTGGTGGTCCCTTCTACCCACTGGGATTTCATGTACACAGGACTGGAAGGTTTCAGGTGTGTGGGAAAGGCAGTATTATTAGAGAATTACAACTAGATTAGATAATGCTGAA